CCTTTCAACAAGAAAACATCCTCAGGAAGCAAAGCAATGGTTTTCTACCTCCAGGTTAATACTGTCCCTGCTGGCCTAAACTCAGTGAAACTCCTTTTCACCAAGTCCACTGGATTTAGGAGGTTTTAGCACAAAATGTGTCAGCCCCAGTGTTGTGATGGACTTCAGTTGGGGATTCAATACCTGCAAGGGCAAACTGTGCCCTTGATTTCAGTGCTGCAGTCATCCAGGCTGTGTGGTGTAGAACAAGGTCAGAGGAGCCCACTGGTGTTATCCTCCTCTGACAGCCAGGTAGCCCTAACCTGCTACTGCAGCTGCAATGGAGTGGTCCATATATTGCATAGATCCACCTTTAGCTATCCTTCAGTGCAGGTTCTGCTGCACAGCTCTTAATATCCACAGTAGCCTCCAAACCATCTCCTCCAGTCAGGAAAGAGAGCTACATCGTGGAATTGATGGAATCGCTCAAACCAGCTCACGTTTAGTGTGATGCACACCCACAACAAATCCTTCCGAAACGGCCCATGATTAGACACATAAAGTGATTGTCCACTGACGAGTTCCAAATAATGGACACGTTGAGAAAATGACAATCTGCTGGCAGATAGTTTGCAAACAGAAAGAGAGATTGAATTCGTCAGCTAAATGATTCATTCTGGCTTCCTCCGGGTTGTTCATGGCTAAAACAACCCATGCATGGCTCCAGCAGGCAGTTTTGTGAGCTTTGCCGTTTCTTCCTGTGATTGTCATGCATATAATATCTTATTACATTGGATATTAATGGCAGTGTTGTGCTCAGGTATTGAAAATCCATATGGCCTGTATAATATTTACAGTATGACACAGTAATAAGTCACAGCGACAGCCTGCTGCCGTGCACTCCTAGCGCTCCGCTCCCAGCGGAAGCAGAGATGTACCACGATGTTTGTTGGGATAGAGATGAGCCTGGCTTTTAATTAGTTGGATCTGTGGCTTGAAGTGGGGGGAGCTGTGGAGGGTGGGTGTTGCTTTGCATATGTTACCGTGGCATGAAGACTGATAGCAGAGGAATAGTTCAAGTGCAGCTTGAAGGCTGTTGGGTTTCTTTTGCTTCGCTGCTTGCTGACAAAGCAGATGGGGAACACCATGAAAACATCTTGCTCTTTGCGGAAGGACCTCCCTGTTTCGTGGGGGTCTGCATGTGGTAGGGAAGGAGTGCTTCTTTCTGCACTGCAGTGGATGTGGGAGCATCACTGAGAAGCTGAAATGGTTTCAGGAAAGGAGGAGCACTGGGCTATGACCCTGGAAGCTCTCAGGAACTATGGAGACCAAGCAGGAGCAAGGGCACAGAGAGGAGTGTAGCAGGCAGGCTGCAGATGGTTGTCAGTGGTATCTTGGTAATACACCTGCCAAGCAAGGGGCAGAGTGTGAAGTTTATGCTGTCAAGGATGGGGATGAGGATGCTCAGTGAGAGTTTGAGCAATGGTCTAGATCTGAGAAGGGAGTAAAAAAAAACCCAAACCCTGAGATTTACATGCAGCTTGGTGTTGTTGTGTGTGGCCTGGGAGGGAAAGCAAAAGGGGGAGGTCAGGGATGACTGACGGGGGCCAGACCTCAGCGATGGGAAGGAAATTGCTATTGTGAATAGGAGGCAGAGATTGGAGGCTACAGAGACATTCTCTTGGGGGGGGAGGAAGGTCAGGAATACAGAGCAACAAGACAAGCACGGCTAAAGCTTCAGCTCCTGGGGAGGCAAAATGAGCAGTGTGACTGAGCCCTGGTGACCCCACACGTGCTATGTGAGGTCCCTGCGGCTCCAGTTTTAAAAGCCCTGGGAAGCAGTCCCCACACCTCTGTGCCTCAAAGCTGTGTTTATCCTTTCCTCCCTGCAATCTGCATCTCGGCAAGTCAGCCCTGCCCCATGGAGCCTGCAAAGATGCTGAGTTCCACCGTGCTGGCCAGGGGCTGCAGCGATTCCTCAGTTCCCCACTCTCCCTTTCAGATGCAGGTGGAATTTTGTGCCATGGGGGATAGAAACCTGCTAGCATCTGTCACTGAGGCTTTGCTCTCATTTCTAGGCAGATTTCTTCTAACTATGGGAACTTATCAACCTGAAAAACTTCCCAGAGACCATTTCTTGGGGGATGGAGTGGAAATGGGATCTCCTCCTTCAGGATGTGATGGCCTTTTCCTGGGGACAGTTTAATCTCTCAGAGGCAGATGAATATGAGGCTCAGTAATTTGGTACAAGCAGGAGGTGAGGGGAGATGGAGAGAATTTCAATAAAGCAGCTGAAAGCAAAGAATCTGGAGCTGCTGTAGAGTCCTGTCAGAGCCCCTGCTTGATGAACCTGGGGTGGAGATCACCCAGGGTAGGTGGCAAAGCATTGCCTCAAGGGTCAAAGCTGCTTTATAATAGAGCAGCTGGTTCAGTTCCCCCATTTTTCTTGCTTCTCAGTTACTCTGACCCCTCATAGCTCTCAGGCACTGTACTCTTGCTTTCCCCTCCTATGTGTTCTCACTCTTGTACAGGCTTTTCCTTTCCTTGGCAAGAGGTTGCCTGGAGCCTGAGCTATTGTGAAGGGTTTCTGCTGGTTGTCAGCAAAGGAGGGGATTTCATCTGGGCTGCATAAGACAAAGACACTGGATAAGGGGAAGCAGACCCCTGACTTCTGCTTTTATTACAGTCATCTCTGGGCAACAAACAGTGCACCAGGCACTGAGAAACAACTGAAAGGGCGTATGTATGAGAGGACACACACTGCTCACTGTTTCCTATGCTGTTACCCTGCAGAGCTGGTCCTCTCCTGCTCGCTGTAGCACTTGAGGCAGGGAGATGTTCCACTGAGAACCCCAAGGTCACCAGGTGTATGTGTTACGGAAGCATCATTTTGCTATGTCTAACCCAAAATCCCTCTGCAGAGCCACTCTCTGTAGCCCCCCCAGCGAAGTTGGGCCCTGAAAGTTGTTTTTATTCTAGTAGAGATGTCACGTCTGACAGTTGCTGTCACCCTGTGATTAGACCAACAATCAGCCCTAGCTTCTTTTGATAGAATATGAGCCCTGACTGATTAACAAAGTGGCCTTTGGCCTCAGGTTAATAACAGATTTCACAGCACTGCTATGGAGTGATTATTATTTAACAAGGACTTAGTGGAAGTTTGATATTCTCCTACAGGCTTCTGTCCATCCGAATGCAGAATTGGAAAGTAACAATTACGGACATGAACACCAGCCCAACTGGAGGTCTTCTGGTCCCAAGGCATCAGTATTCTTGGTGCATCTGTCACATCTCTGTATTAGATGGACTAATGTATTGGGTTTGCTTCTTTTTATGACACCTCAGTGTATTCATCAGCCAAAGTATGAAGTTGCCTCAGTCCATCAGTTATTTGAGTTATCAAGTTATCTTGTGTATTGCTTTCCTCCATCTGTCAGTCGTCTCACTAATGTCAGCCAGTGAAGTCCCTTGGTAGGTCTGTCTTGCAGGTGTATCTCATTCACTTTTGATTGTCATGACTTCTGATTGTCATGGAGATATCAATCTCCAAAGCATAATCTTCTCTCTTTTCTTAGTTATCCAGGTTAATCAGTTTTCCTGGTGGGTCTTTTGCCTTGGTGGCAAAAGTGGTGTAGAATTGTCATGTGAAAGGTGCTGTGCTATGAACTGAGATCAGCTGCACATCACTGCCTGCAGCCCATGTACCCCAGTTCGGGAACTGCAGATCTGAGCTGTTTCTGCCTCACTGAAACACCTCAGCGCCTTGGGTTTTAGTACAGCAATCTCACATTAATCCAGCTTGCTACAGAAGTGCTATTACTGTTGTGTCTCAGCGGGTCACCTGTGAATAGTCACTCTAAGGGCCAGACGGGTAAACTGATAGATGTGCGACTGTTCAAAACCATATGGCTTGAATGACTTTGATGTCCAAGTGACATATTCAGGGTGATGTATTGGATTAGGAGCTTAACTATAACTGAAAGTTAATGGACTTAGTTTCCTAAGTCTTACATATTGCAGCACTTTGCAGAGCAATGCCTAAGTGTTGCACTTCAGGAGTTTACCAGGAGGCAGCAGGAAGCTTGCAGTGAAACAGGGAACTGAACTTGGGTCTCCTAGTTCCCAGTCCAGCTCCCTTTCCTGAGCCATCCTTTCTTCCCTGATAAAAAGAGGGAAACGATGCCTATTTCACCAGTTGTGGATATCTCAGAATCCAAACCCAAAGGGTAGAAAATGGTCCTGCTGAAACCCAAAGAGGAGAAAATGGTCCTGCTGATGCCAGTAGAGAAGGTATGGCAATTTCTTCTCCTACATGTTGAAAGGACCTCACTGAATGTGCTCCTTTACCTACAGACCTCTTCAGCTCAGCAAATGTTTTTGCCAATTAGAGGGTTTCCTGCTGCTGTGGTTGATCCACACGAATGGAAATAGAGGGGAGGGTGGAGGAAGGAATCATTAAATCAGCAGAACAAAGGCATGAGGGCAAGTTAAAAGACCTGATCTGAATAAAGGAAGCTCCTCAAAATATCAGCTTCTTTGTCCTGCCTGTCCTTCATCCATCCAATTCTCCTGAATGCTGTAGAGAGGCTTTGTCATTCTCAATGACATGGCAGGAGGAGCCAGTCCTTCAGCACGCTGCCTAAAATAGCAACAGACAAGAGACAAAGTGCTCAGAGGTTCAGCTCAGTCTATGAATGCTCAGAATTTCAGGGCCAGATCTGGATTATTCAGTCCTTACAATAAGATTCCTCATCACAGATACTTGATGCTTTGTAGATGGAGCTATGAAGATGGCCTCATTCATGGCTGCCCCTCTCTCAGTCATTATCTATATAAGTTAAGGTAATGTGTGTTAGACAGGTGAAGTACCAATACCATGGTAGTATTGCAACTCAAAATTGGGCTCAAATTCCTGGGATTTAGCAACCTATATACCCCTAATGGAATTGAGATCCATTTTTCCCTCATCTCCAAAATTCCTCATCCTTTAGGCAGTCACTCCAGTATCCGTACTTCTTTCCAGGTTCTTGTGCAAGGTTTATCACCACAGCATTTGAGCAGCTTCCAGTGTATAAGTGACTTAGTAGCATGTGAGTGCTGAGGTTATTGCAGCTCTACATTTATATGATCAGAATTTCCCTTACTACTGCCTTTTTCTTCCATCCTTTCCTATTTATCTAGTAATTCACCTCTTGGGTCTGAGAGATATGACCTGTGAGAGGATTCCAGGCTGAAATGCCAGTTCAGGAGCTATGATTGAGTTAGTCTCCCATAACTATTAATATTGCACCTCCAAAACTTGTGTATAGGACATTGCAACATGCCCTTACTTGCATTGTCAGCAGCTTGCAATACTGCTACAGGACTTTCCGTCCTCACAAAACAGTTGCACCAAGAGACCTTTATATTCCTTGTTAGTATTTACAGTGGTCTCCTTCTACAAGAGAAAGCAACCTTAAGCAATGCAATCACATCGCTCCCATAGACCTTCTCCACTCTATCGTCCAGTACATGCTTTTGTGTATATAAAGCATGGATCGTGGGTGTGTGGATAGAATAAAATGAGCCTGCTGAAGTCTCTGTGTTTCAGACAAATAGAGCAGACCATGGAAAACAATGTCTTTGTGCTATGCTCCTGCAAACATATGTTGTGTTTGTGACCCCAGCCTATTGTTCACAACAGTGAGATGGAATTACTTTTTCAGTCCAGTGGAAGATAGAGAGTTTCAAATCCCACAGAAGCTTTCAGCTGTGTCTTCTGCTGGGGTTTGGGTGCCTTTGCCAATTCAGGAGCAGAGCTTAGTAGGTAGCTGGCTTGTAATTATCACTCCTTGCTGAAGAACACAAGGGTTAAAGGGACCTTGCTGTGGACGGAGGCTGTGTGTGCATAAGCCTTTTCAAAGTCCCTGAGCATTCATCATCGTTCCTGTCTCCCAGCTAATGAGCAGCTAAAGTGATTTTCTATTGCTTGTAATTCAGCAAAATTGTTCTAACTGTTCGAGGAGCCAAAATTGACAGGCTAATGCGGCCGCTGCCTGAGTGTCTCAATGGCTCATCGAAGGGTGAGCTGATTGCTGCCTCGGTGATCAGCCGAGGTGCTTCAGACCACATCATTTCTGTAATACATCAACAATCTGAAAGCTGAAAACAAAGGCCAGAGGAGAGCAATCATAGGTCAGTGATGAATACTAAAGAGTACAAGGAAGAAAGAAGTATTGTCTTATTCCCTGGTCTTATTTCTCTCTCTGTGTCTCTTTGCTTTCAGTCTCCAGGCAGGGTACTGATAGTTCTGGACCTTTCCTTAATTAAGCAGACTAAGTTAAGGTGGAATTGAGGATGATGTGGGCTGGTTGGGTTTGTTGTTGCCCTAGTAGGTTTGTTGTTGGACCTTGGAAGACTAGAAGGTGGAAAGAGCAGCCACTGAGTACAGGATACATCAGCCTGAGACACATCCTCCGTATATTAGAGCTGGTGTTTGCTGCTCACTCCCCTTCTCATGATCCATGTTTCAGGATTTGGTTTTAGGATTTTGAGGTTTTAGACTGTGGTTTGGGTTGAATTTCTGTTGTTACTTTTCCTCCAATGACAGGAATTAGAGAGTTATTTGAAAACAAACCAGAGCACAGTTGGAAAGGCACAGCAGTGAGAATGCCTGGTTTCCCATACTGTGTATATTGGTCTCTATGATGTCCAAAGTGCTGTGAGCTGAAGACTTGCAGTTTAGAGCTGCAGAGCAGCTCTGCTGTATGTGAATTCTCTGTTGAACTCCTATTGTAGATACTCTTCAAGTCATGGCATAAGGTCTCTGCCTTCTAATCAGCCACCTAACTCCACAGAATCTACAGGAGTTCAGTGTGGTTTAAAGTGCTTTATTTTCTGGCTTAAAAATGGCCAACATGTTCCAACCTTATTGTTTTTAGGAGGTGAACACACAGAGTGACTACATGACCCTCATTTCTTTGGGGAGAAAGACTAAAAAAGCCCCATAATCAAGCTCTCAGTTGTAGGAGCTGAGATTTCAGAGAACTCCCTGAATGGCTGGACTCAAGAGAGAAAAAAAGCACTGGGAAAAACAAGGGTATAGAGAAGTCTAACTGAAGCTTTTAGCATTCTGGACCTAACTCCTTCCTTTTCGTGCTCAGGACATCAGTAAGCATGCAAACCCGATTTTTGCCCAGGTGCTCCACTGCAAACTCAGTGAACCAGGAGATGCCTTTTCATCTGCCTCCTTGCAGACATCGGTGTCCCTCCTGGAAGTTAGTGTGTCTGCCAGTGTGGCTTTCAGGATCACCGGAACTCAAAAGCTTTCTCGCATCATCAAGCGCAGACCCCAGGGAAGTCATTTTCACGTGGTGCTTATGCACTCGGGCCTCTATATCTGAGCTAGACAGCTTGAAACCTTGAAATACTATGGCAATTCTTCTCTGTCCAGTCCAGTCTCATCATCGTTAAGCTCAACTACAGATGAAATTTGAAGGGATTTATCCAGCTACTCTCATCAAAGGCAGCCACTAAAGAGAGCTCTGAATATTTACCCCATGCTGGGTTTATTTATTCCCCAAAACATTTCTTTGGAGTACAAATTAGGTTTTGAACCTAATTCTCAGTGTGGGCTTTGTTTGGTGTGTAAAACCTGAGCTTGTGTGGGCTGACCAGGGGACTGTCTTAGCAACTGCTGCTTTGTCCTCAATAGAAGGTATAATTACCCTAATTTATTCTGAAAGAATGATGGCTCTGCCTTCAAACCTTAGAGATAATCAAGAGACAAACCTAATGCTTTTTCAAATCAGAAGTTTTGGATTCAATTTTTTACCATTATGACCCAGGAGCATGCATCAAACTGTGACTTACAGTGGGTAAAAATAGCCAGGGACATATAGGATCAGGTTCCCTGTCACAGGACCATGAATAACTCGTGCTATGCTGACATTTGGGATCTTTAGATACCATATGGTTGATCTGCACAAACATCATATAAAACGCTGTAGCATAGGTGGGATCTGAACCTGTATTTTCTGAAGCCCAGGAGAAGGTGTTGCCTGTTGAATTGCATAAATAGCATCACTAATTGCTTTTCTGAGACTTGTTTACATTGGTCGTGATTTTAGTGATGGTTGGGGGCACTCAGAGGAGGTTTCTTGAAGGACTTGCTTATGTGCTAATCTTTCTTGGCTTTTAATGTGGAGGATCACATATCTAGAAGCTAGAGGAGAAGATGGGTAGCTGTTGAATTACTGATTTAAGGTACCTGCCTTGCTTTATTAATTACTGAAAGAACCAAAAGATTTTACTTAGCCTAAAGCTAAGAAAAAAGCTAAGAAGCAAAGCTGCCAACATCTTCCTTATTTATTCACAGAATAAAGCCCTCTCATGTTAATTGTCCACATCTCCATCTTCTTCAGAAGGCTTGCCTTTCATATTGCTTGATTTTATATCGTTGGATGCTTAGGATGTTTCTAACCAGAGAAAAAAGCAGAAAAAGACAGAAAGCACAATCTGAAAAGGAGACTTAAATAGAAAAGATGCTTAGATTTAAAGAATTGTCCCCATATTCAATAGCGACGCATTAAATCACTGAAGTTTCAATAACTCGTACAGTATCTCCATGGAGATGTGCACCATATGGAGTTAATTAGTAGAACAACAGAACAATCAATTAGTTCCTTAATAAGTTTTACTAAGAAATGATAACAAACACAAACAATTTATTCAAACAAATGCCTGGACCACAATGATAGTTTAATGGCCTCTGTGAAACTGGCTCCATGCTGAGCCCCTTACTGGTACTTTGATTGATTCTGAAGATATTGAGGGTAAATGTTAGCTTTGGTCCAGCCAAAATGTTTTATCAGGATGATCAATTATTTACAGTATTAGAAGACAGAGAGGAGATTGCTGAGAGGTTTTAATTTAGAAAATGATAATAAAAAAGAGGGGAAAGAAAACCTTAAATAAGAAGATTCCATCAAGACAGTATTTAAACTGGTAGCAATATGTGGTGAGTAAGACAATAGGGATTTGCCCTGCATGCCACATTTAATCCTAGAAATAAATTGGTTTTCTGTATCATATCAAGATTGGTATTTTTGGTATATACATTGGGTAAGAGAATCAGGCATGCACAGGTCATCCATTAACTTGGACATATTCAAAGCGAAGTGATGCTGGGAAGTGGAATCTTGGCAATTAAGTGGTGTAAGTCAGAATGAGCAAAGGGAGTTGGCTGTGGGGTTTTATGTTGATCTGTATCACAGGTATTTGTGTGAGGCTTTTTCTGCATGAAAGGAGGCATCTCTACATGGCACACCTGACTTCTACTGATATCAAGAAGGACTCAAGAGCTCTGGAGAATGCATTACCCATGCCACCAAGGAAAGTTGATATCAAAATTAGCTCCTTTGCTGCACTCAGGGGCTGTGATTAATTGCTTGTTAGCAAGATGTTCAAAGTACCACGATTTATGAGAGTTTGATCAGGCAGATTATGGAATATAACATTTCAATAAATTCATGGTGACTATAGATATATGTTACAATGATAAATAGGTCAAGCTACTATAGACATTTTAGATCCAATAAAGTTATTTTTAGAATGTGTTTATGTGATGGACTAACCTATTATTTACCCAGCTGCATTTTTATGAACTAATCCTTTCCTTTAAAAAACAAGCCCAGACTTCAGGATGGTGTTTTATTGCTACCATCTTCCCCATAATTCTTCTTTCTCCAATAAATAGATCTCTCTTTTGTGGAAACAAACAAAAAAAAATCCTCTCTTTGCAACTTTGGAGGCTGCTCAGGCCTTGCAGCCAGAGGCTGTGTGGGAATGATGCTCAGGATGCAGATTGTGAGCGGTCATACCCAGAGGGGACACATCTGGCAATGCTCTTTGGGGAAACTCATCCACTGAACAGTCTCTCCCAGCTGGGACATCTACAGCAGGGAAACAGGTAATGAAAACTGCTGGCAGAGAGAAATGCAAACTCTTGTGTAAGTCATCAAAGCCACTGTCAATCTGTAGTCTTCATTTCTTTGACCAGTGGGGTGTGTGTGTATATTTGTGTCTGTTTCTGAGGCTTCCTGTTAAATCAGAGCAAAATGGAGACTGCTTCTCTTCATGCCCTTGCTTTAGTAGCATCTTTTACCTGTCAAGCTGGCTGTGGGTTTCCAAGGCAGCCTTTGTTTCAGGAAACAGGTTCAGGACTGCAGTGAGTAGGTGGCACAACCAGCTCTGCTTCTGGTGCAGTGGCTGTCACCTCAGTCCCTGAAGAGGGAAGTTTGAGAAAAAACCTAATACAATCTTTGCAAGTTCCAGTATCTGTGGATTCTCTACAGCACCTTCACTTTGCTTTGCTCTTTTTCTTTGGAGACCATATTAAATGGCTGTCTCAATCTTGTGGATATGGTTTATTATTTCACTAAGGAAAAGGACCAAAATGTCCTTTTCATGTCTGTGTAAACTAAGTCTTCCTCTTGGCTTGTTCCTGCAGGTCACTGTGAGGTGTTTCAGTAACACAGCCCCCATCATCAGCACCCCAGCAGCCTCCACTTGGTGGCTGAGTAGCTGAGGATAAATCTCTGCTTGCAGCCAGGCTGCTGGTTAGAATGTAAATGTCTAAACTTTGGAGAAGTGACCTCTGTTAAGTGGTTTAATGCAGTGTGTTGCCAGGAGCTCATGAATTCTGTATTACAGCAAGTAGTTCCATGAGATTGCAACTATCTTCCTAATAATACAACCTCAACATATTTATCACAATAACTCAGACATAGAGAAAGTATAAATATCTTTGATATGGGGAAATGAACTGGCTGCCTATAGGCATCCTCTTTGCTTTATTGATTTAACCCTTTACGGGTGTCTGTCAGCGACTGCTGCAAAGAAACAGATTCAAAAGGATTAAATGATGATGCTGGGTGTCTGCACAACACGATTCAGCCTGATTCAGTGCTTTACAGATGTTACCAGCAGACCCACAGGTTGGAGATGTGAAGGTTTGCTTTACAGCCTGCTGAAATGAAGCAATCTGTGCATTTGGGGTAGAGAAAAACTAGGTTTCTTTTACTGTGTAGTATATTTAGGTATATTTGGGAGATGGAATGAAGAAGAGTGTGTCCAGCTGAGGCACCCCAGATAACCTCAGGGAGGCAGGATGCTGGTCCTGTTCCTTGGTTGAGGCCATCAGGCACAGCACAATGCTTGGGGTTGCCTCATGCTTTCTGACCCTGTGTGCAGGATCCTGCTGGCCAGATGATCTCAGATGGGTTGTAACTGGTATAAGGTGCCAAAAGCAGAGAATGACAACAGTGGTATTCTGAGAGTGCAGTAATGTGTATTGGGTGACTGCTTTTCCTATATAATACATGAGCCTGGATCAATCTGGTACCAAGGAGTTGTTACCAATGACCTTGGTTTAAACTCCACCCCACTGCTCCCCATGACATCAAGCTCTTTTTCTGTTATGCTGGAGGATAAGAGATCCAATTGACACTTGCTAAACATAACCCCCATTCCCTGTATCTCAGATCTCTCCAGTGATCAGATGATGGCTGTATGCTAGCACTAACCCTGTCTGACTTACGTTATAGTTTTCTGATGTGATCAGAGACTAGAGTGGTGCAAGATAGATTGTAAAGCACATGGATATGGTCAGGTAGAGCTGATTTCCTAAGGGATTTAGGGTAGGGAAAATTAGAAGTTCTTATGCACTAGCTAAAATCTTTTGTGTGTGATCAGGTCTGTGTGATAAAGTGACTCATGTTCTGGAGTGATAAAAGCCTAATTTCATGGGCCATCCACACTGCTTTTCTTGAGATAGATAATGTTCTTACAACACACATTTCCTATCTTCTTTCCCGATAAAGATCTCCTTTCACTTCTTTTTAAAATGAAGTAAAACTTGGGAGTTGCTGAAGAAGTAGCACTTTTTATGGTCACTTTACCCCCCCAAAAAAGTCTTTCAATATTTCAAGCAGCAGCAAACTTCGGAAAGCAAGAAAAAAGGGTTTTGAGGTTCTTTTCATTTGATATATAGACTGAATACAGACAGGAGAAGGTCAGGGATGCAGCAGCTGAGACAAAAGGGGAGGAGGAAATATAAGGGCTGCTTTTTATAGTTTTTATGATACTACTTAGACCCAATAAAATGCTTCCATTTCAGATACAAACCACTTTAGATGGGTCCAGAAACAAATATGCCAAGACTATTGAAATGTGGGCTGAGTCGCATTTCTCACTGTAGTTTCACTCTATGATGGGTGCACAGACCCTTCCTCCTGTTTGGGGGAATCACTCTTTCAGTTAGCAGACGTACTTGATGCAGGGATTTAACTCTTATGTATTTACTTGTAGCAGGAGGATGTTTTCAGCTGTGAAATCCCCATGAAATTGAGATTTCACTGCACGTTGAACTTCACACCCTCTGGATAACCAGGGTCCCGTTTCAATGGTGCGATGTGCAGCTGCAGGTAGCTGGATCTTCAGCTGGAGTGTGTGCTCAGCATGCTTAGGGCAACAATCCTGCTAGATACTAAGCACTACCCTACTTCTGGAGGATGTGAGCAGCGCTCGTTGTACCTTTATCTCTGCTCACTGAGTGTGGAGGGATGCTTCAAAGCAAGAAAGAAAAACTCTGTGTACATGCTAACCTCTAAAAGGAGCAAAATCTGCTGACAGAGAAACGGGCCCCATAATCAGACCTACGTGTATCATTTTAGTATGACTTTTATTAACCTTTGTCATCTCCATCCAAACGGATTCAAGGTGTTTACGGACTTTACAGTGGTCACTGCAGTGTTGCCCTAGGGAGATGAGAAGGGGCAATGCCAGCAAGAACCTACTGAGCCAAAAGGAAGATTAAATATCTCTTTTGCCAGTTTTTGCACAGCCTGCCCACTGATGTACATTTGCTCAGCCACCCTTTTCAAGGCAAACGTTGGCTCAGGACATTGCAGCTACGTTACAAAGGGAAAGCGCTCCCTGATAGAGATGTAACTGTCTCTAATTAAAGTGCCTGGTAGGGGATCCCAAATCCACCTGACCTCACCACCACCTTGTCCCTGCAAGTGGGAACCTCCGAGGCTCAGAACTGGTCTCTCCCTTACCTATGTTTTAATTTGTCTTCCCAAGGCTCTCAGACTGATGAAACCTCAATTATCTGATACTCAAAGCTAAGCAAACCGAGACAGCTGTCTGAGGCCACAACTGCTTTTGCCCATTTAGATCAGACACTTTCCCTCTAATCTTTTCCAATTTCTCTAACATGCACTTCATTTTTTAATGCCCCACTCTCTCCCCCCCCCGAGCTGCAATCTTTTACACCACTGACAACAAAAATCCTTTTACTCTCTCTGGTCCATGCTGTTTTCCCAGCCCAGGGACATGTACAAAAATAAGCAGCCCCACTGAAGCCTGCTCTCTCTTTGCATAAATACAGTGGTTATGGAAAGGTGTTCATTCTATTTTCCACAACCTGTCATGTTGACTTTCTAATGAACCGGTTACTCGGCTCTGGGAAGCAGATGGAAACCTCTTCTGACAGCCCCTGTCAAAGAAATAGGCAGGAAGAAGGAGAAAAGAATTGCTGGGTATGAACTCCTAGTGCTTACATGGACAGTGGCAGGGACTGAGGAAAGATGTAGGTTTTGAACAGGATTTAAAGGCTTCATCAATCATAACAGTGATGGAAATGCAGCCATCAAATAAAAATAAAAGGATACATAACTGATTTTACACCATGAATTGATTTCCTCCCTGGTGAAAGCAATGCAAAGGTGGTGTTTTGGAAACAGAATCAAGAAGCAGGTAATCAGTCTATTTACATACTCCAAGCCAAAGGGAATATAAAAACCCAGAGGAAACAGCAGAAATGAGCATTAGTAAAACTGATCTAATCTCTGTGTTATTAGTTGCTCAAGCCAGGCTGTATGATAGATATACATATATATTGCTTCTCTCCTCTTTCAGCCATGGCTTCATATAACATCTGTCATCTCGCTCGTCCCCAGTGACAGAGCCAGCCCTACTGAGCATGTCCTGCAGATTCAGCTCCTCAGGATCCTCTTTGCAGAGCAGTACAGGTATCATTTGCTCCATGAATAGGGCAGGGTGTTAACAGTGAATTGCCCTTGCAGGGTGGGTAGCTATTCAGCCCTGGCGCAGACTGAATGTGTGTTGGTATTCTGCAGAAGCTCACTGTACATCAGTATAAGAGACTAGGTGGGCTATGAGGTTATAAAGACTAAATTCAAGAGTTCAATTTAGTTCCCTATGGAATTGAGATGTCTGTGATGCAATGTCCAGGCACCTATCAGACATCACTAAAACTTCAAGCAGAATGGTCAAGCTCTCAAAACATCCAAATTCCTGTGGATTTCCTGAAAACAGATGGATGAAGGAGAGGAGGAGCCCTAGCAATAGGCCCAGGCTGCAGCACTAGCTCAGCCCTTATTAGGCATCAGAAATCCTAAAAGACCATTGAGTCCAGAGACATAAATCCTTCAATGGCTCAGCTACATTGGTTCTGCTGCTCAGGGAGCTGCTTCCTTAATCTGACATTGTTTCTAGAATTGAACACCCTTAGGAGAGCTTCCAGGCAGGT